GCCAACCTAGCAGTTTGAAAGCATGTAAAAATGCAGGTAGAAAAAATAGGAACCACTATTGGTGGGAAGGTAACAGCGTTCCGTTTAATCATGCTGGCCACATGACCATGTAGACCAGGGGTGGGTTTCTCGCCCTATTCCAACCTGTTCGGTTGGAACTGGGCCGGCGGCATCCTCGTGCATGCGCAAGGTGCACGCATGCGTACTAGCGTCTATGCGATGCTCCAGCTGCTCCTGGAGGATCGCGCAGGCGCTGTATGCGTCCTGCGCATGCGTGGAAGCGCAGAATTCATCAAAACCAGGTAAGGAGCGCGGGCGGGTGGGTGGGCCCTTCGCCGTTCCTGGAAGTTACTTACTTCCGGGTTCACCGACCAACCGGTTCGCAGGGACCGCCACGAACCGGTTGAAACCCACCCCTGGTCTACATGGTCATGTGGCCAGCATGATTAAACGGAACGCTGTTACCTTCCCACCAATAGTGGTTCCTATTTTTTCTACCTGCATTTTTACATGCTTTCAAACTGCTAGGTTGGCAGAAGCTGGGACAAGTAACGTGAGCTCACTCCGTTACGCGGCACTAGAGATTCGAACTGCTGAACTGCCAGCCTTTCTGATCGAAAAGCTCAGCATCTTAGCCACGGAGCCACAGTGTCCCCCAAAATAAAATCTTAAGAACTGTAAAATCTAAAGGAGGACCCCTGTGATAGTCCTCTCCAGTTGTGTTTTTGGTAGCTCAGCCAGGGATGAAATTCAGCAGGTTCTGACAGGTAGCGGTAGCAGAAATTTTGAATAGTTCGGAGAATTGGCAAATACCACCTCTGGCTGGCCTCAGCGTGGGATGGGAATGGGGATTTTGCAGCATCCTTTCCCCTGCCACGCCCACCAAGCCATGCCCACAGAACCAGTAGTAAAAAAATTTGAATTTCACCACTGAGCTCAACTAAATACAGGTAGTCCTCAAGTTAAGAACCATTAAAAACCGTTCAACGTTGCAGTTCAAAAACCTGGAAGCTGGAAAAAAAGTGTGTTACAAGTGTTTCTAATTGATAACTGGCATGCATTTACGATGGTTGGAGCATCACTTCACAACTATGTCAAAATAAAGGTTTTAAAATCAGGCATGACTCACTTAACAACTGGCTTACTTAGAAGTGGACGTTCTGCTCCTAATTGTGGTCATAAATCGAGGACTAGCTTTCTGCTAGCTCAGATTCTGTTTTCTTCCATTTTGAGGATTTAAGCTCATCCTTAGTATAAAATAAGGGATGAATGAACCAGCAACAGAATGGTCTAGTTTAAACCATGAAGTCCTTTCTCCACGTTGAAATTATAATTTGGCCTTTTCTTTCCTACAAAAGGGTAACAAAAGTTTGCATTCTTCATAGCCATTGTTCATAACGTGCCTGCTGTTTTTGATGGTCCTCCTGTATCAAAAAAATCTGGGTTTTTTTTCTAGTCTTCAGATATTTCAGATCATAAATTATGGCTGCATAGGGCAATGGCTCTGTTGGCGGGGGATGATAGTCCAAAAGATTTGGCGGGGAAGGCTGGATTATTCTGTTCTAGGCATTCTTCTATATTGATAATACTAAAAACCTGGAAATATGACATGTTAACTTTACATCATAAAGTTATAACTGATCTCTCTCTCTCTCTGTCATACCACACAAAGATTAAAATAAAACCCTGTGTGTATGTGTGTGTATGTGAGTGTGCGTACATAGACACACAAGGATGTTGCATTTGTGCTTAAATAATACACACAAACGCACATGCATACATACATATACATATCTATATTTAAAGTCACAACCCCTGGTATGCCCAAATATGGGAGGAAGATCACTACTTCCATTCCATAGCTTGAAATAGATCTATACTAGTCTCCCTTTATTTATTTATCAGCACAAATATAACATATACATATATATGTATACAAACATATCCATATACAGATAGTCCTTGACTTACAACAATTCATTTAGTGACTGTTCAAAGTTACAATGGCACTGAAAAAAGCAACTTATAACCGTTTTTCACATTTACGACCATTGCAGCATCTCCTTGGTCCAAAAATTCCAATGCTTGGCAACCGATTCATACTTATGACAGTTGCAGTGGCCCGGGGTCATTTGATCCTCTTTTGCAACCTTCTGACAAGTGAAGTCTAAGCGGAAGCCAGATTCGCTTAACAACCGTATTACTAATTTAACAACTGCAATGATTCACTTAACAACTGTGGCAGAAAAAGTTGTAAAATGGGGCAAAACTCAACAAATGTTCTCACTTAGTAAGATAAATTTTGGGCTCAATTGTAGCGGTAAGTTGAGGACTACTTCTACACATACTCATGTGAAAGCCCTGGAGACAAAGCATGGAAGACAATATGATATTTTAAAATAAAGTGATTTATGCCATGAAACACAGTAGAATGGAAATCAGACTTTCTTTACTGCTCTTTACCAGTTAAAGGTAAAGGTTCCCCTCACATATATGTGCTAGTCGTTCTCATCTCCGTTTCAAAGCCAAACAGCCAGCGTTGTCCGAAGACATCTCCGTAGTCATGTGGCCGCCATGATTAAATGCTGAAGGCGCATGGAACGCTGTTACCTTCCCGCCAAAGGTGGTCCCTATTTTTCTAGTTGCATTTTTATGTGCTTTCGAACTGCTAGGTTGGCAGAAGCTGGGACAAGTAACGGGAACTCCCTCCATTATGCAGCACTAGGGATTCAAACCGCCGAACTGCCAACTTTTCTGATCGACAAACTCAGCGTCTTAGCCACTGAACCACCATGTCCCCATTACCAGTTATGGAGCATTACTAAAGACAACCATTTAATCAGCTGTGGGTGCTCCATCACTGGAGATTTTAAAAAGAGATTAGACAACCCTTTCGTCTGAAATGGCATAGGGTTTCCTGCTTGAGCAGAGGGTTGGACTAGAAAACCTCCAAGATCCCGTCCCATGCTCTTATTTTGTTATCACGCTGAAAATCAGAAGTCTTGCCTTGTGGAGCAGTGAAAAGGCAGGATGTGTGAAAGGTGAGCTCATACAATAAATTGCATCAATACAGATCCTAACTGGTAGAAACCTGATCAAAACAGAATTTGGTAATTACATTCTTTCCCTTATTGTTGAGACCCCCAATAAGCTATTTTCCCTGAGGCCATCAGAACTATCTGCTTAGAAGCCCCCTAAAAATAAGCCATAGTTTACCTTGCAGCTGAGATTTCTTGAGTCTCCTTTCCATTCTGTTTGGCCGGTAATTCAAGTATAAGTTACAGCCTTCTTTCCCCATTGTTACTCCTGCTACTAGTTTAATCTGAAGGAGGAAGAGCACTTTTGTTCCAACTCTTCTTACTATGAGCAGCCGCCCCAACCACAGCTTTCTGGAGGTGGGCCACAAGATTGTACAGGAAGTGCTGAGACCAGCGAGGAACAAGCCTGCTTTGTTTCCAAAGCTTCCCCCATTTTTATTTATCAAAATATAAGATAAATTTCTGCTTCAGAAATTCAGAAAGGAGAACGCGAAGGAAGAATTTCATTCTTCAGCAACAGATCAAGGCAACAGATCCTTTTGGGTTGTTCTTCTCATTTCTCCTCCAAATAGTGTCTCATTGCAAAGCCTTCAGAAATCTTCCTTTTGGGTTATTATCTAATTCAATCTACACCACACAAAACTTAATATTTGTTTTAAGGTTCTGTACACCGCACTAGCCAGAAAGAGAGCTGAGAAAAATATCTGCAGACTCCTCGCATCCTCAACATAAAGTGTTTCAATTTCTCCTTTCGGGATGCCACTGTAGGACATTGCATGCCAAAAAAAACTAGTCACCAAGATATTTTTCTCCCATGCCATCACTCTATTAAATCATCTATTCCCTACGGCACTGGCTTATGCCTAAAGATAGTTATCCATGTGGTAGGGCTGAATTGCTACTATCGTCTCATCTTTCCTGCTACCTTCTCGTATTGGTATCTTATTTATTTTTCTTTATTTTAGGAAATTTATATCGCCTCCTATTTGCACATGACGACTCAAGGCAGCTTACAGGAATATAAAAACCTCATATATAAAACAATAAAACTAATAAAAGAGAATAATCACATAATAAAATAATAACTCCCGCCCCGGCGACAGCACATCACCTGAACCATTTAATGGGCTCCATCCTGCTCTGCGTTACCCAGGCCCGCTGGCAGAACCAAGTCTTCAGCGACTTCTGGAAGAATGAATCTTATGATGTATCACTGGTTTGTATCTTATAATTGATGATCGATGGCTTATCACTTTGTTATTTGCATGTAACTGAAAGCTTACGCATCGGAGACAGAGTGTCCAATCAAAATTGGCCAATAAATATTTAAATTCCAAATAGGAAATTACAGTGACAAACATAGCCAACATACCTTCCTCCTTCTATTTTTCCCACAACAACCCTGTGAAGTAGGTTGGAATGAGAGGGATGGCATGGCCCAAAGTCACCCAAATCAGGCGTGGGTTGAATCATTTTCTCAGCATTACAGCCTCCTCTAGAGCTCAGTTTTTCACATCAAATCACAAGGCTTTTGGAACACTATCCTTTGGACAGATGATATCAAAGCGGAGATGTTGGCCATAATGTGTCAGAGTTTGTTGCAGAAATCACATCCAGAAAGCACACACAGATAACTGATTCAGCAGGATTCATTAACTTCTTTATATACATAACACATGAGTAAATGTACAATGCCAACAGCAGATTCTTCCAACATGCTAGAGAGGAGGGATTGTAAGCAGGTTCAAACATAGGCAGGATAAACAGAGAATGAGTTTCTTAGTTTCAGTTCAGAGCTAAGCCACACCCAGACTCCAAACTATTTCAGCTCCCATTGGCTGACCTTGTTACTAAGCCTTATTTGTTGGCTGGCCTTGTTACCATGTCTCTGCTGGTTCATGAATATTCTGACATAATGTAGAGCGCCACGTTTGGTGAAAACCAAACATACCATATCAGCACAAACATCTCATATCAACTGTCATAAAATATAATTTGAACCTGGTTCAACCTTGAGAGCTCTGGGTTGTTTTGTTCAACTATTCATGTGTGTGTTTCCTTGGCTGGGAAGTGAAAAACACACAGATAAGAGAGATTATTTGGCAGCTTATCTCATAAACCACAACTTAGTCCTAAAGGCAGAAAACCTAGGAAGCAGCATTTCAAATCATTCCAAAATTAATTGATTAATTCCTCTTACAGTCACCAGGATTCTGTGTCTACCCTACTCATTAAAAAGACTTTCCTGAAATCTGTGTTGTTTTTCTGTGAGGCTGGACAGATACCTTGGATATCCAAGACTAATGGAGATGCCACATTGAAAGGCTAATAAACGAAAGTCCTTCTTTAAAGAGTCAGACTGCTACCAGTTTTATCTGGTGTGGTGGGTATGCAGGATTCCTATTGGTGTTACAACCCTTCTGAGATATTTTCTTGTGGTTTCACACTTCAAATGGCAAAAGAGAGCTCACATTTCCTTTGCAGCCCAAAGACCAAACTATAATTTGATGCACTCCATCTTGAAAGAACGTAGAGGGGTATATGACATTAAGCCAATCTTCTTTGTGGCCCACAAAGACTCCACGTAAGAATTTTGCCTTTTTTGTTTCTGCTGATTAGCAATAAGAGTTTTGTTAGGGTGCATTTATGTTTGAGTAAAGGCCAAAAAGCAGAATTTGTTTTTCTGAGCTGAAACACAATAAACAGAATCATGAATGTCTGGGGTTTAACTTATTTTTATTTAAATCCCGCCTTTGTTATTTTGACAATGGTCATAAGTATGGTGTCAGGCTTCCAAGCAACACCCCCAGCCAAATAAAACTCCGAGTTTCCTCAAAGTTCCATTTTATTAGAGATGTCATATTGGCACATCTGGGAAAACCCAAATCTGAAAGCTTCCAGGTTTTCCCCACCCAAGTGAAAGTCCAAGCCCCTGCCCCCACATGTCCATCACATAGTTGAATCAGGCACCATCCCAATGGGAGATACCGTATTTTTGGAGTATAAGATGCTCCAAAGTATAAGACGTACCTAGCTTTTGGGGAGGAAAACAAGAGGAACAAATCTGCCTCTGCCTCCCAGCAATTTGCCTCTTTGCAACAAACAGCAAACAGTGTAGACAATATACAATGTTTGTAGTGTTATAGTTCAGATTATACTCGTACAGATGCTGTTAAAATTGATGTGCTTTCTGAAAGTATAGTTATTCTCTGCTATTTAAAAGAATAGCACTTCTTAGAACAATAGCACTGAGCCTCTTCAGATCAAGCATTTATTTTAAAAAGCTTCTTCATTTTGTTGTCTAGAATAATAAAGCAGTCTTTAAAAAATAAGTCTAATAATTTGAACATTCTATAGGTATTTATAGTTGTTGACTTACCTACTTGCAGCAAACAGCCTGATTAGACAAGAAAAAAAAATCTGCCTTTTCCTCCCAACAATTTGCCTCGTGGAGCAAACAGCAAGTTTCACCTTCCCCTTAAGTCCCGATCATCAGCTGTTTTAGGCTGCAGAGATTGCTATAGCCTATTGAAGCCTCTGCAAGCCCTGTTTGCTGCAAAGAGGTAAATTGCTGGGAGGCAGAGGCCAAAGAGTTGGGGCCGGTGGGTGGATGGGGCTACATTCAGTGTATAAGATGCACCCAAATTTTCACCCACTTTTAGGGGGGAAAGGTGCATCTTATACTCTGAAAAATACGGTACCTATCAGTCAAATCTCTCTAGGTGCAGGGCAAGATGACCTTGACTCTCCGAGAAAGGAATGCTATTTTGGCTATATATCTCCCATACTCCATATAATCCTCCCTCCAATTTTACCACAGTGTTGAATGTGGCAGGCTTGAAGGCCCAATGCAAAGGTTGCCTTCCAGGCCTGGCATATGGGTCAGTTGCCAAGTGTCTGAATTTTGATCACATGGTCACCAGACTGCTATAAAGTGTAAGTGTGAAAAATTGTCATAAATCACTTTTTTTCTGTGCCTTTGTAGCTTTGGTCAATGATCAGATGACCAGAACTGGATGGATTACACCTCAAGGTTCTGAAGGAACAGGCAGACGAGATCTCAAAACCACTAAAATATATATTTCAAAGACCCTGGAGCACTGGGGAAGTGCCAGAGGACTAGAAAAGAGCTGATGTGGTTCCCATTTTCAAAAAAAGGGGAAAGAATAGATACAGGAAACCACAGACCTATCAGCCTGACCTCAATACCAAGGAAGATTCTGGAAACGATAATCAAGCAACCAATCAGTTAACAGCTAGAAGCAAACAAAGTAATAACCAAAAACTAACATGGGTTGTCAAAAATAGATCATACCAGACTAATGTTATTGCATTCTTTGAACAAAGTGACAAAATTAGTGGACTAGAGGAATAGTGTCAATATAATTTACTTGGACTTCAGTAAGGCATTTGATAATGTAGTCCATAACCCACTACTAGATAAAGTAGAAAACTATGGGTTAGGCAGCATCACCACCAGATGGATACATTCCTGGCTGACCAACACAGTTCTAGGCTGCATAAACAGAGGGATAGAATCAAGATCATGTGAAGTGTCAATACCACTTTAAAAGGCCTTGGTAAGGCCACACTTGGAATGCTGCATCCAGTTTTGGACGCCATGATGTAAAAAAGATATGGAGACTCTAGAAAGAATGCAGAGAAGAGCAACAAAGATGATTAGGGGACTGGAGGCTAAAACATATGAAGAGCGGTTGTAGAAATTGGGTATGTTTAGTTTAATGAAAAGGAGGACGAGGGGAGACATGATAGCAGTGTTCCAATATCTCAGGGGTTGCCAAAGAAGAGGAGTCAAACTATTCTCCAAAGCACCTGAGGGTAGAACAAGAAGTAATGGGTGGAAACTAATCAAAGGGAGAAGCAATTTAGAACTAAAGAGAAATTTCCTGACAGTTAGAACAATTAATCAGTGGAAGTTGTGAATGTTCCAACACTGGAAGTTTTTAAGATGTTGGAAAGCCATTTGTCTGAAGTGGTGTAGGGTTTCCTGCCTAAGCAGGAGGTTGAACTAGAAGACCTCCAAGGTCCCTTCCAATTGTTATTCTATTCTATTCTATTCTATTCTAT